TTATATTAATATATAATAATTATAATTATTATATAATACATTATAATTATAATATAATATAATATATTATTATATATGTGTAAAGCTTTTATTAAAAATAAAAATTAAATAAAAACAACAAATTATTTCACACTAAAAATTATTATAATTATTAAAGTGTAAAGTAATACTAAAATTATATTATATTGTGTTATTTTACACCAATTTTTTTATAGTGTACAATAATAAAATACACCACGTTTAAAATAATAAAAATAGGTGTAAAATAATTTAAGTCATTTTCATTTTATTTTTATTTTTAACAAAACTTTAACTCAATTGACCAATTACTGCAATATACAGAATAATAAATGTTTTTATTTATTTTTATTTTAACAACTAAAGAAAAAAAATTCTAATATTTAAAATGTATCATTTCCATTTAGCCATATAACATATTCATCCCCTATATTCATAAAATATAGGGTTTCGCGGACTTGTCAAACAGAAATATGATAATCCTTTGAGAACCGAATTGCAGTACTGATGAGAGCCTCGAAAAAGATACTAACTACATTGAAGAACTGTTAATTGGCGATGGTATCAATCTGATTGCGATAACTATCTATATATGTTATAGATTGGTAGGAATTAACGGATATAACAAGGAGAGAAAATATCACTGCTTACAGGGTTATATGTATATATATCTATGTTACATGCAAGTACAAATTACTTCATAAATAGCTGGTTATGCTATTTAACAAAAACCATTATAATTTCGGCATGTAGATGATCCTTTTAAAACCCTTTCAAATTCTACATATAGATGATATACATACAATATGATCGAATTTTGATACAACTCTATCTGACTATAGTTGGTTGCAGTGGCAGGCCATTAGATAACTTCCATGCAACTCAATTAGCGATTTTTCGCCGTTTTGTTACCGCATTCCTCGGAAGAACCCTAGTATAGGAGAGTAGAGACTAAATCCATCTCGCTGAATTTAGTTAATTTAATAGATCTTTCATCTTCACCGTTGAGCAGTCTGATAAACTATCAAAGATGTGTTTTCCTAAGAACCTGTGGCGGTTGCATATTCACATTAATGTTTAAAATGATAAGTTGGCCATGCAAACTCGGACAAGTAAATTATTGAAAATAAGATGAGTTGGCCATAAAAGAAAATTTTTAAAAACTAATAATATTTTTATTGAGTAAAAATAAGGTTGTCATTCTTTTTACGGTTTGGGAAAACTAAGAATAAAACAACAGACACGTGTAATTTCAACACATAAAATTAAGTAATTATTTCTTGCTTTGATTAATAAACAAAGAATTAAATTAAGTAGGGTAACCCTACAAACCTATATCTTCTGGCCGGTTTCCACAACTTCTGCAGTTAGGGTTATAGGGAATACGCAGTTTTTCTGCGTGACCAGAAAGAACTGCAGTAAGCCTTGCAGTGTTCACGCGGTCTCTTTTGATGAGTTCCGAAGATTTATTTTTATTATAGGTGGGTCATGGCTGACTATAGTTTAATATATTCCATTGTGCTCATGTTTTTAGCACGTTTTTACTGTTTTTGCTAGTTTCGCTATTTGCTATATCACTTTATTTGTTTGACTAGATAACACTGTTAGTTATTTTTCATTTTTTGAAAGCTATAAAAATTTCTTTAATATGTTAAAAAATAACTGATATATATATAACTGAATGTTATATAAAAAAAGTTAAAAATAAATGAAAACATTTTTATTATACTTATTTTATAATGTCATATAATTTAATAACCGAAAAAGTTATTTTTGAATGGTGAAGTATTTTTAAAACATAATTAACATAAACATAAAAATAAAATTTAAATAAAATAAAAATTAAATTTAAATAAAATAAAAACAAAAAACTTAAAGAAGTGCAACTAAGATAGAAAATTGACAGATAAAGCATAATCATAGAACCTTTTTTAAAAACGTTCCCACAAATGAAACTACAGAACATTCAACTATGCCAAATGCCAAAGTGCAGAGAGGAGATTATGTATAAGAAATAATGCAATATACGAAGAATATAACAAAATCATATATAACAGAAACAAAGTGCAGAATTAAAAACAATTATTTCAAGTAAAATGAACAAAATGTGTTGTATGTGGACATGTTTTAAAATTAATAAATTAACTTTTAAAGTTTTAAATTAAAGAAAATCTTACAGTAAAAGTGGATGTATCTGTACTCAGAGGCATGTGATTGCGATAACCATAAGGAGCCTCACAGCCGTCACATGGATGTAAAAGTCTATTATTGTTATAGTTGTTATTTTTTAAAGTTGTGGTATTGTTGATGGTGTTTTTGTTGTTGTTGTTGAAAATTTTTTTGTTAGTTCATATTAAATTTTTTTTTAACATAAGAAAAAAAAACAATGCAAACAACTTGTATTAATAGGCGTAAAATTATTGTAAATTATTAAATAAATTAATAGAATATAAAATTTTCAATCTTAATTGGTTAAATATTTAACTCATTTAAATAAAGTTAAAAAGAAAAGTTAATTAAGTGCAAGCTAAATTGGACTGCCTACATAAAATGTATATACTAATTAAAATTTTATTTCATATTTAATACAAATAATTTGATTAGCTTTTAATAAAATAAAATAGAATATCAAATAAGTCGGAATTAATAAAGTTAAATGATTTCTTAGTAAGAATACTACAAATAAATGTAAAATATTATCTCCATAAAAAGCTAACCTAAGAATATATTTAGGTTTATCATTTAGTTTAAAGTTAATTCTTAAAAAATTATTTATATATTACGGATTAAATTAAATTTTTTAATACTTAGTTAAATTTTAAGTATAATAATATTAAAACCCGATTTATAATACTTAAGTGTTTTTATTAACAATTTTGTTAATGTAGAAATGCAAAACATATTTCATTTTTGCAGTAAGTCCTGTAACTCAATTTTCCATTTTTCTACATTAAACTATATTTATACATGCAATACATATTTTTTCAATATAATAATATTATTATAAATACATTATAAATATAAAAAATATAAATGTAATGAATAAAGATATAATAAATTTAAATATAATACATATAAATATAAAAAATATAAATATAATACAATAAATATTGATTTTATAAATATAAGTATAAATATAATATATATCTAAATAAATATAAATTTAATATATTAAGTATAAAATTTTAATAAATACAATAAATAAATATAAAATATAATAATATCATAATATATATAATAAATAAAAATATATATATAAATATAAAAAATAAACAATACCATAAATATTAATATATAAACATAATAATTAAATAGTAAATATATATCTAATAAATATAAAATATATTCTAATAAATATAAATACTATATCTAATAATATAAATATTATCTAATAATATAATAAATATTAATATTATAAATATAATAAATATAAATATAATATATATAAATATAAAATATATAAATATAATACAATAAATATTAATATTATAAATATAAATATCTAATAAATATATCTAATAAATATAAATATACATCTAATAAATATAAATATAATGAAAAAAAATTATGAAAAAATGAGTAGTATATAATTAAAAAAACATAGTAAAAAAATAATAAATAATAAAATTATTATAATTCATTTTACATATTTAGAAGTTATAAAATCTTTTAACTAAAAGAAATTATAAATAAAAAAATTTTAATAGCACTAATAGAAATATGTTTGCGGCATTCAGATAATAATAAATATTTCTTCACTAATATCCTTGTACTATAATGTAAGCCTAAGAGTTGCTGGACATTGAATAACAGACTCTCTTTCATATGTTTAATACATTATTGCACTCTATAATAATTTATCAAAACATTAAACAAAAATTCCTTCCGTCATATTTAAATATTAGAAAATACATTAAATAAATAAATATTTACATTACAACAACATACATAATTAACAAATACATCTATATATACTATGAACTTCGCAGTCATATTTTTATCTTATAATAATTAATAATAATATAATAAAAGCTATAAACAAAAATGTAAACAAAAGTTTTTGGGACTATATTTAAATATTAGGTAATACATAAAATAAATAAATAAATAATAAATAATAAATAAATAAATAATAAATTAAATAAATAATAAATAAATAAATAATAAATAAATAAATAATAAATAAATAAATAATAAATAAATAAATAATAAATAAATAAATAATAAATATATTACAACACACTAAGCAAATGTATCTATATTTACTATAAATTTTATATAAACTTATATTTTAAACGTATATTAATCATAATATAATAAAATATATATAAAACTAATACATATTTACGCTATAGTAATTGATCTATATTCGACAATACAGTAAATAAATAAATAATATCTTTATTACAACATCCTAGTAACTATATATATAATGAACATTCAAGTTATATTTTAATGTTATATTAATTAATAATAATTTAATAAAATATACAAAAAGTATAAAAGTGTTTAAAAAAATATATATCATATTTAAAAATGTATATATAATACACAATAAATAAATAAATAAAAAATAAATAAATATATATATATATATATATAAAACACAAAAAAAATATAAAAGTATGTAAATAAAATATAAAAATATATAAATAATATATAAATAAAATATGTAAAATACAACATTTCAAAATTTAATTTTTGTTTTCAATTAAAATATGATGAAACAAACTATTTTTAAACAAAACAGTAACGAATTGCAACAACAAAAATTTTTATTTTTTATTAACTGAATTTATTGATTGATCATACAACTGTTTTCAGTATAGTCAATTACTCATTATTATTGGTCTTCGCAAATAACTTTTGTGGGCTTATTAGCCCATACACAGTTTTATGAACTGCTAGTGCCAGGCTTAAAACTTTGAGCCTGAAGAAAGTCGCTGAGGCTGCCAAATATTGCACACAGCTTTGCTATTTAAACTCAAAGATTTTTATTATTCGCAGAAGTCCAGACACCACAGCAGATTACTATTTTCAAAACCAGCTTATAAACCAAACTTAATCAAATTTTATAATTATTGTTGTATGCTTTTCTATACTGTTCTGTTGTATATTTTTATTTTATATATACATTTCTCATTTATAAACAATTTATACATAAGTTTAATGTGATATACTGTATAATAATATGAGCTTTTGTTGTTTACAGTTTTATAATAATTTTTTCACATTAACTAAAAATAATTACTCACTTCTTTGGAATTGTAGAAACGTAAGGCATCAGCACCTTATCAACGAATGAGCCAAAACCCAAACGGAAATTGGATGTTATATTACGCATAGTCTCCGACAACAAATCACCCAATGCTGACAATTTATTTTTGTCATCCTCCATGGATTTTGACAAGTCCATCAAATAATAAAGATCAACTGGATAATCTTCTGCTTGTGAGTAACGGAAGCTCAAGGGATACACTTCGTCTAAAAAACAATTTCAAATAATATATTATACAATATTATATATTAAATTATGTATATACATACTTATGCGCAACTTTAAGCTCACACGTTGTGGACTAATTTGTACAATGTCGCTGCCTGCTGCAGCACTAGATGCAGAGCCAGCAGCAAAACCACTTGCTCCGCCACCATAAGCAGCACCGTATGAACCCGAACTAGAACTGCTGTATGAGGAATTGGCTGCATAAGAACCACCATACATCATTTGCCCACCGGCAGCACGCGCCGCACCACCACGTGTAAGTTCACGGTTTATAATGAATTGCTCTTCTGTTTTCGGATACCAAATATATTGTTCCGGACAGATATTTGAGTAACTATGATCGAAGCAGCGTGGTTTGTCACCATGGTCGGGTTGCATGCACCAAGCACAGCTTTGTGTTTGTATGCATTCATGGCACGTGCGCTTATTGACGCAAGGATTCTGTGTTTTGTCGGCTAATTGAGCCTCAACGGAAAAAACGCAACTGCAGGCGATGAAGAGCAGCACCACCTCGGCCAGGAAGCGCTGTTTGGAAAACATATTTGTTTGGTTGTGTGTAACTGATTTGCTTGTGTAACTGATTAATAATGCTGCAATAGAAACGGTGTTAAATTAATAAAATGCAATTTAAATGAAAAAAATAAAAATAATTAAAAAAGTCAGAAAAAATTACGTAAGTAATTCAATACGTTGACCAACAATAAAATTAATTGTTTTAAATAAATTTTTATTTTAAACAATTTGTATTTTATCAACAACCGGTAAATAATTCATCGTAGGCTAGGCCAGGCAAACGAGATAAGCTCCACGCTGAAAGCGAAAAATGCTTTAAATAAGTTTTATGTCACCGAAGCGAACCTACTTGACTTGACGTTTGCTAAACAAACACTGATAAAACCACAAAGTAAAAATACTAAAAATGCAAAATATTACGATAAAACATATTAACTAAATACTCATAGCAGTTAAATTGAAGTAAATTTAATCAAGAAAAATTCAAGCCAATAACCAAATACATTTGGCGTAGTTGGAGCAGGTGAGAGATGCGCGGATTGGGGACACATAACATAACATAACAAAATATTAATAAATTCAATAAAAAAATTAAGATTGAAAAAAAGAATTATAATAATATCGAAATAACAGCAACAACAAAGCAACTCACAGATACGCCAATGTGTTTTCATACACAATCACCAAGATTTCGAATGAATCAAATCACTTCAAAAATGACTCATCCGCATGAGAAGTGACCGAGAGCAAAAATTAATAAATTAAAAATAAAACAACGAAAACGTAAGGAAATGACGGAATACGTGTGTACATAATTACGACAACTCAAGGTGGGAGATTCATCGACACACATGGATTACGTACATAAGCAATTGCAGGGGACGTGAGTCCGTAGTGCACCAACCACCAGAAATTTTACCAAATTTTCAACAAAAATGTAAATGAAAAATTCTTATATATGAAAATATATCACCAATGGTTCGTTCAAGTTAAAATCTATTAGCTACGGTGGGGAACATACATAGGGTATAGTCTCACATATACGGTATGGTATGCTCTATGAAATAATATGGAAAACATATAGTATTAACGAAACTTAACATAGCACTATCTAATCTCAGAGTAGACACTAGCCGTACAGGGCGGTATGTAGATCTTAGATCAATCATTGAATAAACAGCGAAGCTTGTGAGACATGCATAAATTAGTCAAATATATGACAGAGACTCTGTAGAAACCCCCCCAGTTAAGAAAGAGTAAAAGAGCCCAGTTGCACTAACTCGAAAAAACCTCAATATAAGAAACTTAACTACAAGCTTTTAATTTCATACCTTACTGTTTGTATACTAAAAGACCTTAAAATAGATCCGGTCAAAAAATACATAAGGAACAGAGCTCTGAAGCTATATGCGAAAACCGACTTAGCACTATTTAATCTCAGAGTAATCACTAACCGCACGGGGCGGTACGCAGATTTTAGATTAATCATTGAATAATCACGAAGATTATCAGGAATACTCAAATTATTCAGTGAGATGGGTGGGACTCTACAGAATTCCCCCAGCTATCATAGAGTAAAAGTGTCTAGATGTACTAACTCGGAAAAGGCTTAACATAACTTAACATTAATAACCTTACTGTTTGGAAAATGAGTTGATTTAATATGTAATTCTCTGATTGTACTCCTATAAATTATTTCAAAGTCAATAATACAAAATTTCATACCACAAGCAAATTGTTCTATTCCATTTAATTCATGTCAATTTCCATAAAATCAGAACCTAATAAATGATCAAAGCTTTAGTGCTGTCTAATAGCATTTAAAATAAAACATTGAAGAAGAATAAAATAATATATGACGTTTCCACTAGCTTCGTTAGATAGGTTAACTGACTTAAGATTCAAGTAATTCAAGCAATCTCAAGTAACTTAACTGGTTTAATGAAGCCAGTGGAAACATACTATTAAGCTTAGAAATTACAGCTCCAAATAAACATATTTAATGTTAAAAAATAATATTATTCGTTTCAATCTCATATTCAAGTATGATATGGTATCCCATAAATAGTCGACTTAGGTTAAAACGTTGCTTATACACCAGATAAAGAGAACTACCAAAATCTAATTTTTGGTATCTAATTGACACGCAGACAATATCAAAGAGAATAGCTACGACTTCTCCATTTAAGTAATAAAACAACATAAAATAGAATAGGTACGATCCTCCATTTATGTAAAAAATTGAACTAAGCTAACAAGTTAATAATCATTGGTATGTCCCCCATTTTAAGAATGACAGTTCTGTAAGATCGGTGGAAAAAAAGGATCCATTATTTTTATTATGTTAATTTCAATTCTTAATCTCACATCCTATAAGAAACTGCTGTAATCTACATTATTAGATGTTATAGTAAATGCTAATATAGAAACGGATAGATAGGTAGATAATCATCAGATAACTGAGGTAAAAATATATCAACAATCAGAGAAATTGAATTTGATTATCAAGGAAAATAATGTAATAAATTTTTCCACTACAAATAATTCTAATTCCATAATAGTAAGATGAGTTGTTCAATAATCTTGCCTTGATAAATATGTCAGGAAACATCAGAAGTTGGCAACATATATATAAAGGACTATATAAATAATAATTAAATATATGTAAAAACTATATAAACGGTTTGTTATTTTAAAAGTTTACAATAATAGCCATTAAATAATAAATAAATAATAAAAATGAGTAAACTCAAAACAAATAAAGTAATAAAAATTCCATTATAGGAGAACCTAAGAACTTATGACTAATTAATTCTATTACGTTGGACATAAGATATTTATAATTGTTTTTTTTTGTTTATTTTATGAATGCAATAGCTTTGGAACTGCAATTTAAATCCAGCTGTTATTTTTTTTTTGTCTAGCTAACAACTGGTAGAGTGAAATTGATGCTTTCTAGTATCAGTTATTGCAAAGCATAATAAAATTTAGAAAAATTAGATCTATTTCAGAATATTGTCTTGATTAAGAACAGAATATGGTGCAGCAATATAAAAATAGTTATAACTGTTATGTTCAAAGAAGTCTATTGACTGCCAGGTACAATCGTTTACATTCTCTGAATAGTCTATCAACTAATCAACAAAATAGTCAATGGAATTATGGATACAGTTCAAAACTACCGGCATATATACAATCTAGACCTCCTTAAGGTCCCAAAGTTCAACCACAATACGGTTTTAAAACATTTGCATAAAGATGGTTACAAAAAGAAGTTTGATGTTCTAATATGGATAGTGTGATACACTAATAAGAATCGAACCTGTATATTCGAATGGAATAATAACAGGATATTTTTAAAGAATGTGGTAACAGGAACTGTTATGTGATCGAAGATAGCAAACTGTATGAAAATCATATTTTTTGTGTCTTCATGTTATTTTGTAAAGTCTGTAAACTCTTAATCGAGTTTAGATTCTTTGAACACATCATAAACTATTTGTTTTTTTTATATCATTTGATCCAATGAATATTTTGTATTAAAATCATGAAATTTCTTTCAACTTATAATAAGAATTGAATGAGGTAAACTAATTCCAATTAAATAGAATACTATTTATTTAAACTAGTTTACCCTTTCTACTGCGAACGATCCAAATAAATAGTTGTCATATAAAGTTTAATTTAACAATGGTTGAGATAGGGCTTGTGTTATCGAAACAAAATTCTGTTCTTATAAGATCAGCTTGAATATATAACATTTGATAATTATGGTCAGAACTTCCCCATAAGTTATACTAACAGTGTTTCCTCGCATTCACACGGCAAAACGTTTGTCGCTTTCGATTGGCAAATCTAGTTTTGCTCTCGATCTCTTATATTTCGCTCGAATTTGTGACCCAATCAAATAAGTTAAGTGTAATCCCAATATTATTTGAGTTACACATATGCTGGCAAATCAGTACCGTTTATTTTATTAATTCATTTATTTTTAGCTTTTTTTGTTATATGCTTTTAATTTAATTTATAAATATTAAAAAGGCCAAAAACAAAACAAATTGCCAATTAACATAAAACAGCTGTTGATTTAAGAGTGAATTTGTTAATCTGACAAAATATCTAGAGTGTTATAAATAAAGCTCTTGTGTTTACCTTAATCTTGGGTGAAAAAATTACCGTAAAGAAACGAAACGAAAATGAAAACTATACTAAAAGCAAATCTCTAGTTAAAAAATTACCCTAGAGTATTATGATCTAGATTCATGCAAAGAAGCATATTTTACTAGTGTCATAACGTAAAGAAAAAGAAGCGTAAAGTTTTCTTTATAGCCTCTTTACACATGCACACGGCAAAATTTAATCTAAATACCTAGCTCTAAATCAGCATTCACACGACATTTTTACTAAATGTAAGCGACAATCAACACTCGGAGGAAACCCCACAAATAAAGATTTATAAATTCAAAGGAAAATACTGATGTTCTTAAACAGAAATTTTAAATTTAAAAGAAAAATAAAAAACGAAAATCGTTTTCGGAAAGGTATTTCAAAACTTGATTTAGATTTATAGGAATGTTAATTCCTGTCGTGTGAATAGGTTTTCATAAATGTAGTAGTTGCCGTAAATATTTAATTTGGATTTTAAATCTATTCTACGTTGTTTATCATGTACCCTCATTTATGCTAGAAGTTTTAGTAAATGTTAGTTGTTATTATCATCAACATCTAGCATTTCCAGATATGACGTCATGTACTTTTATATAAACAAGAGCAGAAACAGGTAAGTCAACACACTAGAATCTTCAGGAAAAATAGGTTAATGCCTTTTTTTGGTGTAATTCTAATTATGGACAATAAAATTGTAGTTGAAACCAAAGCATTCTGATTTTGAGATTTTTTTATAATTACTAAATAAAATGATAAAGTATTTAAAAATAACAAAGCAAAGAAAATATTGAATATTGAAATTTTCGTGAAAATTAATAATCCAATTGTTATCTTATCCTTAAGTGAAGCGAAAAACGTCATCTTAGAAAGCTAACATACACATTCTTTTCTAGGAAATTGAATGAATCCAAACAACTTCGATTTAATTGACATGACATCGCGCCAATGACTAATCGCAATATTAACTCTCAACCAACTTTGCTATGCCATATTTATGGCTCATACTTATGCCACTTGAGATCAATACTCTGCTGCTCTTATACTTTTTACACTTTCAAAACTCATTGCAATTATAATTTAAAAATCAAACTGTACTAGATCATTTATATGCCCTAAAATCAAAAAAAAAAAAAACAAAGAAACTAATGTTCATATATAAAAAATAGTCTTTAACCCCACGCATTTGCAACGAAGCAACTAAAAACAACATCAAACACCTCTGAGAGATACGAAAAATAAATAGAAGCCAAAAAAAGATCGCTTCGACATCTGCAGCATAGAAATCCAAATAAATAGAAAACAGATTGATAAAATTATGCTTATAAACACTGCCTCCGCGTCTCCGAACGAGTCCATACACCGATGTGGGCGTTCTAACCAGTTCTGTGTGTTGCCTCATTGGCCAGCGGAGTCTCGACTTTTTGCAATTTCCTTCAGTTTAAACACAATTTAATTTTCATATTTACGCTTATTTATGTTTGCAATTTTACTCGCTTTCATTCAAATAACTTCTTTTCATTCAATTATTCATTCTTTAAACAATTTTCGTAATCACTTAATATTTTTCTTTATGCCAAAGATGAAATCATCTTTTTTTATTCTATAAAATTTTTTATTTGCACATTTTTCTAGCAAAAACCAATGTTCTTACGTAATTTTCACTTTCGCAATAAAATTTTTCACTTACACTTTCGTTTTATATTAAACACTCTACTATTTTTATTAAATTTAAATATTATTTAACTAAATTTTATTCCATCAGGGCGTAATGTATACGATGTCTTTGTTTCTCTCGATTTCGATTTCGACTTCGACTTCACCACCTTCCTCGTACAAAAGTTAAAAACAGTCTGAAAAAATACCAAATGGAATGTTCAATTTTATGCTGCCATACACGCAGAGTTGCATTTTAAAGGTAAGAAATAATGTATAGAAACTGTAAGGTGTGAGTTTCTGAAGTATGGCTCGCAAGTATGGCAAAAAAATGCATGCTGGCCTATATTCACTAAGCGAGCATTTGGCATCTCTGTTGCAAACTGTCAAGTGTTATGTTTTGACAAATAGCAAAACTAGCATAATGCAAGCAAATTACATTGCGTATAAAAATAAATAATTAACATAAATTGAAAATTAAATTGAATACAAAATTAAAACGAATAGTAAAATGTTGAAAATTTCAAAATAAAACACTGAAATTTTACTTTTATTCCAATTTTCTAATTTATGAAATTTTTGAATTTTGTTTGAATTTTTATTTACATATAATTTTTGACATATGATTGCAATATTCGTTAGAATTTTCAATGAAGGTTTACAATAGTTCGTTTATTGCGTTGGCAACACTTTTTTTTACTGGCCGAGGTAGAGAAAATAGTGTTTTTGTTTTGCGTACATTTCGGCCAGTATAGGCCAGTAACTTGCTGTTTTTTGCCATACATATACGAGCCATATATATTGTTGTTGTTGTTGTGATTTGAGTTAATGCTATTGCGCACTTTAACTCTTTTGTGGCTGGGGGGCTTATCCCTGCCCCACACTAAACTTTAACTATACTGGAATCATTATCATTTATTTATCTTCTAACTGATGACGGACCGTAGATCAGCATATCTTCCTGTGCGTCTTAAGGTAGACTTAAGGTATGTTAGGGTGGGTTGCGCAACGTATCAACTTTTATGAATAGTTTTAGGGCTCTGTCCTTGATGTATTTTTTCACTGAGTCGATTCTCTGATTTCTATGCATGTCTGTTGTTTTAATATACCAAGGAATCTTAATTAGTCTTCTTTAAGCCAGATTTTGTGCTATCTGTAATTGCTTTATGGCCGTATATGAGGCTTTGCTGTATGTTACACATCCGTACAATAGTGCTGGCCTAATTATTTGAGTATATGTTATAATAACTTTCTATTTTTGAGGTTGAAGCGATTATTATTAAACAGCGGCTTAAGGAGATGTAGAATTTTAGTACAACTATTCCGTTTGGATTTCATATGTTTATACCAATTAAGCCGTTTGTCAAAAGTGACGCCTAGATATTTTATGCTTCGTATCTTCGTGCCACCTACGCTCACTTCTGGAGGATGCTGCCATCTCTTTCGTGTTATGAATATAGCCTTGATTTTGTCGCTGTTAATTTTAATCTTCCATTTCTGGAAGTATTCCACCATGAGGTCTATATTTCTCTGTAAGATATTACTTACATTTATGGCATTCCGGTCAGAGTAGATCAAGGACGTGTGCCGTGTGTGTCATAAAATATATTTCAAAATGTATTTTAAATTGTACAATATTGCTATTTTAATTTCGGGTATTTTTTACCCGTTTTTTTTTACCCGTGATAACAGACATAAAATAATAAACTATATATTTAAGCACATCCTGTCATCGTGCTAAATGGGCAGAGTTGTAAATTCTGCATAAACTTAAAGTGATTGTCAAATTAAAGTTTTGCTTATTTTTATATTTGCTAAATTTTCGTGTGTTGAATTTGTTTTCATATTTTATCAGAAATATTAAATGCTAATATATAATGAATAATAAAATTAACTTCGATTGAAGATATAAGTATTAAAAATAAATAAATTGAATATATTTATTTTAGGATCAATTTTACAAAACACCTTTTAAATATCGACGTGACACTATTCTAGTCCGATTACTTCAACTGAAGTATATTGAATAAATTAATTACTATGAATGTTCTGCAATAGAAAACGAGTAAAAAAAGTACGAGTACGAGTAAAGTCTGTGTAGCTTTTAAAAAATGCTACACAGGGATGTTACACTCTCTTAGATATTCTCATTTACTATACAGTGTTACTTAAAGTTACTACGAGTAGCTCGTGGAACAGAGCTATTATAAATTGTAATTTTAATACTTACTTACAGATAGTGTTTAAAAAAATATGTTCCAGAAATACTAGTAATTTATTATATGGCTATTATTATTTATTATTATTATTGACCTTTTTCAATTTTAGCCACTGTAACCAGCTATTCCAAAGTAATTAGAGTTATAAAATGATTAGAGAGCTTCTTTCCGTAGGGACTTTTTTTATAAGGCTTTCAGAAAAGTCAATCTCATTTAATGAATAAAATAGATAAAATAAATTTATATATGAAAATATTATACCAATTTTATAAATATTTGCTTCACCCAACATCATTTGCTTTTCAATATATACCATAGAGTACCAAAGAAAGGTATTCTTTAATGTTTTCTACAAAATATTGTTTGACATTACATTTCTAATTTGTCCAATATCGTAAAAATATTTACGATATTAACACAAGCAGTGTTGTATAGTAAAATAATAATCATCTCAAATCAGATTTCAAATAAATCTCGTCCGATTTCACTTTAAAATGGAAAAATTTAAGATCTAGATAAAGATATATAAAATACTGTAACAAAAAACAAAATAGTAATAGCAACTGCGAAGTATTTGCAATGATATATTACATAGCTTATAATAGAAATACTTGTTGATCAAAAATATTTACAAATAAAATAAAGCTGTAATTAAAAAAAAATTTGAAATAAAGACAAGAAATTAAATTAATTTTAATTTAATTAAAATAATTTTATTTCATTAATTCAAATCTAAAATGAAAAAATAAACAATTTTTTTTAAAAAATTTAATTTAAAAATCAATATAAAAAAATCTGAAACGCTTTTTATTTTTCTACTTGCTTCACTGTTTGCTTAGTTTGAAAATTTAAGTGTAAGTACTTAAACTTTTCTAAAGTAATAATTCGGATAAAATAAGCTGGAACATCCTATTATTTTGCTATCAGCTACTTTGTAGAAGGCTCTTAATATTATTTACTTCTATCATAATTAGTACATCTTTAATATAACAATAAAATATGTTACAGTTTTAATAATTCCTTTGGATTTTATTAAAAAATGTTAAATGCATGTGTGATTGCAGATAGAAATCTCTAAAAACTAAAATCTAATAACAAAAGACAATATGATTGTCATATTGTTTGGTTGAAAACAGGTGATTTGATTTGTTGTTTTTACTAATTTTTATTTATAACAATAATTTAAATTATTATATTGTTGTATTAGCTCAATACAACACAATATTGATAAAATTGATCATAAAAAATTTATATAAAATGATAACTATAAAATATAAATACACTTAAAAATACAACTATAAAATATATAATATAAATATATATTATAATATGTATAATTTATATATAATTTATATATTTATATATAATTTTTATATTTATATAAAAAGATAAATATAAAAAATTTTAAATATAACGAATAAGTAAATAGCAAAAAATAAATAATTGCTAAAAAGTGGCAATTATTTATTTGTTTAATGAAATAATACCATGTTTTTACTTATCTCATTTAGGCAGTTTTACTCATTAACGCCGCTGATGATGATAATTTACCATACAAAAGCTAAATGAGCTTAATAAATCATCAGCATAAATCAACAGTCTTAAGGCGAAAAATGTCAAATGCAACCCTTTAAAATAAATTTCCCACATGGAAATGATTAAAATTTAAAATATTTGTCATGTTTTATTATAAAATGTAAACAAACATGCTATTTCACATGCTCAAATTAGCTTATGCCAATGGAAACGCCCAAATTTTAATTTCATTAACATATGTAGTTTTAGCTGCAGTGGAAACATGACGAAGGTTAGGTTATACTGACAATCCCTAGAGGATCCACTTAGGCTTATTGGTCCATTGTGTTATCGTATATAGAGGAAAACTCAGAGTTCAAGAAACATGACATCAATTTTATAAAAAAATACACCGAATTATTACTTAGCAATATACATTATTCTAAAATTGAACTCTTTGTGCTTATTTTTTAATATTTTTGAAATGCGAATTTGAAAAATTCCAATTTTCTTTTACTAGAAAGATTAGTTTTTCTACAGTTTCGTCTTCCATTGTTCTGCAAATTTTTAACAAAATATCTTAAAACTAATTGGGTTAAGGATAAAGGATAAATTTATAGAATAAATATTAAATATAAATATATATTTTTATGTTAATTTTGTCTTGTCGATATATTTTTATTTAATTATACTGTTTGAATAGAATGGTGCAGCTAAAGCTTACTAATACTGCATTCACACGAGAGTTTTAATTGTAATTTTAACTGCTATTTCAAATTATTTTTGATTTCGATAGCAAAACTAACTCAAATCATGTATGGAAATTTTGCCAACTAAAAATAAACTTGAATCGTAATTTCCATAAAATCAAGTTTACTTCAACTTGAACAGTTTACCGTAGTACTGTGTGAAGTACAAAGTTGTACTATTGTGAATAGTTTTGAATAATAAATGAAATTTTTGTGCCAAAACGAAACAAAAGTATTTATTTGTTAAAACTGTATTGGTCTGATATGTATATCACATGTACAAGTTAAATATTTTGTGAAAGTCGCTAAAAAGTGTGGACAAATAATAAATCTCACAATCAAATTACTACAATACGTTGTGTTAATCGATATTTTTGCTTTTTGATTTCGAATGTCAATTCAAAATTTTTGATAGCTAAAATTACAATCAAAACTTTAATGTGAATTCAGTAAAAAATAGCTATAACGTTACAAAATAAATTTAAATGTACATTATCTTGAATTTGATTTCCAAGCTACTACTCTCTTCACAATATTTTTGTAAAGTGGATTTTAATGAATACAAGTTATTATATATTTCTATGCATCTTGTAAATATCTTATACTAATTTTAGCTGTTATGTTTGTAATATTGGCTCTCAATTGTTATTGCTTTCAATGCAAAATGAAAATTTTTGACAGCTAAAATTACAAACAAAAATCTCTTGTGATTACAGTATTATAAAATTTCTTGCATATTTG